ATTAGTTAGCCAGGCCGCGTTTTTTGTTAAACTTAGGACATGATGGTGGGTAAAATAAAATACGCGGCCTGGCTAACTAATGAATGAACATTTGCTGTAAAATTCATATCAATGTTATAAGTGTAGCTACCAGTTTGGCCGCCAATTTTGATTTCATTCCATTAAATCGCACGCTCAGTCTTTTTATCGACCACACCTTTTTTTTTCACACATAAGGTGTTTTTGATTATATATCATGACTTTTCGTCAATACACACCAACAAACCACAGTAAGTAAGAAAGTGACACTCGATAGTAACCAACATTAGCTTTAGGATAGTAACCCTATTATTCGGAACAGACCTTTGCTTTACAGAACCAACCAGATTTTTTAAAATATATGGTGGTAGCTTTCATCTCTAAAACAGTGTTAATAACTTTCTTTGTAGTAATGCCAATGAATCTAGATTAGCGGGTTCTTGTCATCACCCGCATGCACTCGATACAGCCGTATCAAGCATCATTATTTACGCTAATTGCTTAAGCTAATATCACGTGACGCTAAACGCTCTTTAATTAGAAGAACTTCATAAAATTTAGCAAATCTGTTCTCAAAAGTTGGCAATGAATAAAGAGTAATAACCGTCCACTCGTATGATTCTTTTGAAAACTTGAGCTACAAATATAGTTTGCTTGGCCTAACCAATACTTAATGTATCTGTTCGTGCATTCATCCTATAGTTTTGCTTTGCTGCTCTAAATCAGCCGTCTTTAATCCGAATTACAAACAAATAAAAAGTGTCAACTCTTACGCTTAGGTGAAACTGTAGTAAAAATGTTAGACCGATAGCTCATGTGACTTTTTGCTAAGGCGTGTGCAAAAATTCTGACCAAAATTGGGCAGTTTTTGTTGAATAACTTTGTAGGTTATAAAAATATGTCAGTGTACCAAACTTGAAAAAAAAATCCATAAAAGTTAAGTATGTTTTTCTATCAAATAAACATTCAGTTACTTTCGGTGCGAAGAAAAAAATAGGAAGAAATTTAATCAAAATTGGAGATTTTATATCTCGTGTATTTTTTAATGGATTGCTTTGAAATTTGATATGTGAAGTAAGTATCCAGTAGAGCACATCCATAGGAAATATGTGATAGTTTGGATTACCACAGTTTGTTTGTTTGTTTGTTTGTTTTTAATTATGCACAAAGCTACACAAGGGCTATCTGTGCTCTGCCCACCACGGGTATCGAAACCCGGTTTCTAGCGTTGTAAGTCCGCAGACATACCGCTGTGCCACTGGGGGGCCCCACCACAGTTCGAGCTACAGAAAGTGAAAAATCTCTAAACTATCACTCCTATTATTAACACACAGTCTGTCCTGCAGGTTGTTTTGGCCGCACGACACACTACAATGTGTCTTCATAGGAACTAAATTAATTAAGATATGTATGACTCTTGTGATGTATGGTTTAGAAATACAGTGAGAATTGATAGTATTCTTTTTTTTCAAAAGATATTATATTCATGTTTTTACTCCTTTTTGGTATTATGCTTTTTAATATTTTTTTACTGTCTTTCTTTCTAGTTCTGACCGTCGGATCTCCGCCAGACCATTCCGAAATAGAAGAAACAAACAACAGCCATGCCGATTCTGATCATGTCGTCGATCGCGAGATCAAACGAGATTCTTGCGTTGAGCGGAAACCGAATGGGCTACTGAACGGGTGTGCTCTCTCCTACAACACTGGAGCTCTGACCGACAATTCTTTAACCAACGAATTACCTGGGACCCACAGTTCTGTCCCTGGTTCAACCACATGCTCTACGAACAACAAAGACAGTAAAACAAGTGGGAGTGAGTGCAGTCCGAACAGCGCCATTAATTACAGCTCCCAGAACCAACAGAATGATGAGAATACACCAGGAGCCAAAAGACGTGGTCCTCGTACCACCATCAAAGCTAAGCAGTTAGAGACTTTAAAGGCTGCTTTTGCGGCGACTCCTAAACCCACACGCCACATCCGGGAACAACTGGCTCAGGAAACTGGCCTGAACATGCGTGTGATACAGGTAAAGAAAAAAATATATAATTCAAAAAGGACTTTGCTGTTTGCTTTGTCCCATTCCGTACTGGACAGCTCTAATTTACACAATTTTAGTCGTTATCTCTTCATATGTTGGTAAAAAAAAAGGTGCGCAGAGCAGTCAATTACAATGAGTCAATGTGTGTTTTCGAGGTTAAGTTTTACTTGCAATATAGACTTCTGTTTGTAGGGTTGAAGGGATACGTGAACGTGAGTGCCCGAGCAGATTTTAGCAAAATTATTTAAAATCTCTGAATGAAATGAAATGACATTTGGATATTAAATGGAGATAACATGTCGGTCGTAGGAGATGGTAAATTGAATATCGCATATTTTAAGATGCACATATTTTTTTTTCTACATAAAACGAGATAGAAATATATTTAACTGGTTCATGTAAGATATAAAAGTTCACGTCTTTAGGTCGAAAAAAAACGTTGTTTTCAAAATAAACGAGACTTTAAAAATTGTCAAAATTTTACATAAGCAGCTCACACACATTGTCTGTTGGCCAAAGATAAGAGCAAGTACATTCCTGGAGAGTTCTTACCTTGACCTTTGACCTACGTCCACGAAAGGCTATGACCTTGAAAAGCGATAGCAGCGACACTCGTCAATGTGTAGTTAAAATACTTTCATAAACTTTCTATTCTGAAAACCCCATTAGGCTAATTGAGATTAAATGGTTGAAAATGATTAGATCATACATAGTACACATTCATAGAAAGCGTATCTGATAATAGCTTAGTTCAGCGTTTCCCAAACTTTTGTCATCCGCGTCTCCCTTATTTATTTTTTTTTGTTGTTTTTTTTTGGCCGCGGCATAGCGGTCCATAGAATGGCTCTGAGTTTCTTGTTTTTTGTTTTTTTAAAGTACAATCTTTTAGCTCATAGCGCCATCTCTTGACCGATTTGAGATCTAACTACAGCCGCGGCTATTTAGGGTTCCCTCTTAGATGTTATGTACGGATACACATTAAAATGCTATATGTGTTGTAGTAATTACTTATTATTTTCATTTATACAAAATACATTAAAACGCTTAATTTTACATTATTGACTCTACCCTAATCGTTCGCCCCCTCAAGAGATCATTTGCACCCTCCTGGGGGTCCCATACTTTGGGAAACGCTGGCTTAGGTCATCTTCAATAATAGTAAACTATACATTACGTGTTCTATAGATGGCACACTTCTTAAAATTATCTTATACAATTTTGAATGCACGTGTTATATTACATGTAGCCTTGTCTACATAATTCACAATATCCACTCCTTATTCTTAGTAACTCACGGTAACACGTCACCTGTGCTCACAGTAAACTCTGTCTCACGTTTAACGATATAGCACCACACATTTGTTCTAACAACACGAATACACATTGGAAACAACAAGTATAAAACTAGAGGTGTTCAGAGTCGGACAGTCCGAACAAGTATAAAACTAGAGGTGTTCAGAGTCGGACAGTCCGAACAAGTATAAAACTAGAGACCTCTAGTTCTATACTTACTGGGACTGTCTGACTCTGAACACCTCTAGTTTTATACTTGTTGGGACTGTCTGACTCTGAACACCTCTAGTTTTATACTTGTTGGGACTGTCTGACTCTGAACACCTCTAGTTTTATACTTGTTGGGACTGTCCGACTCTGAACATGTTCAGAGTCGGACAGTCCCAGCAAGTATAAAACTAGAAGTGTTCAGAGTCGGACAGTCCCAGCAAGTATAAAACTAGAAGGTGTTCAGAGTCGGACAGTCTCTCTTCGTCCCGACCGTAGAGAAAAAAAGGTTAACACTAAAGGTAGAAGATAAATGGGAACAAAAATCAAAGATCTGGAGATGAGTAACAATCAATAATAGCAACGGGATGAGCAGCGAAGGTTGGAAGAAGAGGAAGTGTTATGGCAAATTTTGTAAAAGGACACAATTCGGGACTGAAGATAATTATTATGAGGGCATTATGTAAAAGTACAGTTCTGATTGGATATATATATATATATATATCATTATAAGGAGATTTTGTCCAAAGGTCAATTTATAATCTGCCATTGTTGATGATCTGTTTTATTACAGTAGTTTGAATGTTTGTGTTTTATTTTTCCCCAATAAAATAGGGAAACACATTCGCTATACTGTTGTATGTCTATTACACCGTGTTTACAAGGCAATTCTATAAATCGAGTCAGTTCAGGGTGGAAGAAGAAATTTTATTACGATGAAATTCTGTAAAACGAGACCGTTTAGGATGGTTTGTTTGTAATTAAGCACAAAGCTACACAATGGGCTATCTATGTCCTGCCCACTACGGGTATCGAAACCCGGTTTCTAGCATGGTAAGTCCGCAGCCATACCGCTGTGCCATTGGGGGTAGGGCAGTTCAGGATGGAAGAAGAAAAATAATTACGAACAAATTATATTTAAAGAACAAGTTGGAACTGGGACTGGCGTTGATGATGTTTCGTTTTATTACAATAGTTTACATGTCTCCGTTTTGTCTTATTTTACATAATAAAATAGGGAAACACACACACACATTCGCAATGTAGTTGTGTGTCTGTTCAGAGTTTCCTCGTGTTTACATTTGTATAAAACTACTATCTACAAGCCCGGTGTTAAACATATTGTGTGTTGATGAAGTAAATACACGAGGCTTGTCTGGTTCGTTTGTAACGTAGATATGTATCCACTCTATCGACACTCCACAGCTTGCTGATTCCCACGCTCGTGCGGCGGCGGTGCTTGCGGTAATTTGTGACCACACAACTCAAAAAGTGTGCATCGAAGTAGGGGTGGATGGTGGTGTAGAACCGCTCCTTAATTTACGCGCCGAATTATTGCCTTGTGTCCGAAGTGTAAATGAAAGTTAGTTTCCAGTTCTTAATAAAAGTGCTAGAAAAGTGGCACTGCGGGTCTCTAAACTTCTATAAAAAAATGTAGGTTCTCCTCGTGCCATTGAAGGACTCGTGTATCAAAGGACGAGTCCATAAAGTCCGTGTATAAATATCAAACTGTGTCGTTTTTCTACATAACAACTGGTCTTCTCTAAATTCTTAGACAACAAAATTTTTCCTTATCTGATGTTTTTTTTTGTTTTTGTTTTTTCAAGTTGATAAAGCAGGAGCTTCGTAGTTAGGATACAAATTGTTCTTCATCCGACGCTAATTCCCCTTTATATTTGTAATAATTCAAGAATCCCTCCTTACCAAATTGTTTTCAAACTTCCAAAAGAAATTGGTCACTGAGAAGCGCGTAGTATATATACACTAATACACTACATTTTAACATATTAAAAAATCGCATAGTACACTCCGTTTTAGCGCACTAGAAATCTAAAAGAAAACTTTCGACTACATGTAAACCCCCAGATTAAACTAGATTAAAACTAACAATACATAATGGATTAAAGCTGTGCAGTTAGATTAAAACTAACAATACATAGTGAATTAAAGCTGTGCAGTTAGATTAAAACTAACAATACATAGTGGATTAAATGTATAGTTAGATTAAAACTAACAATACATAGTGGATTAAAGCTGTGCAGTTAGATTGAAACTAACAATAGTAGTGGATTAAAGCTCTGCGGTTAGATTAATACTAACAATACATAGTGGATTAAAGCTGTGCTTTTAGATTAAAACTAACAATACGCAGTGGATTAAAGCTCTGCGGTTAGATTAATTTAACTATACAGCTTTAATCAACTATGTATTGTTAGTTTTAAACTAACAATACATAGTGGATTAAAGCTGTGCAGTTATATTAAAACTAACAATACATAGTGGATTAAAGCTGTGCAGTTAGATTAAAACTAACAATACATAGTGGATTAAAGCTGTGCAGTTAGATTAAAACTAACAATACGCAGTGGATTAAAGCTGTGCAGTTATATTAAAACTGACAATACATAGTGGATCAAAGCTGTATAGTTAGATTAAACTAACAATACATAGTGGATTAAAGCTGTGCAAGTTATATTAAAACTAACAATACATAGTGGATCAAAGCTGTATAGTTAGATTAAACTAACAATACATAGTGGATTAAAGCTGTATAGTTAGATTAAACTAACAATACATAGTGGATCAAAGCTGTGCAGTTATATTAAAACTGACAATACATAGTGGATCAAAGCTGTGCAGTTAGATTAAACTAACAATACATAGTGGATTAAAAATGTATAGTTAGATTAAAACTAACAATACGCAGTGGATTAAAGCTGTATAGTTAGATTAAAACTAACAATGCGTAGTGGATTAAAGCTGTATATTTAGTTTAAAACTAACAATACGCAGTGGATTAAAGCTGTATAGTTAGATTAAAACTAACAATGCGTAGTGGATTAAAGCTGTATATTTAGTTTAAAACCAACAAAACACAGTGGATTAAAGTTGCAAAGTTAGATTAAAACTAACGACACATATTGGATTAAAGGTGTACAGTTAGATTAAAATCAACAATACATAGTAGATTAACTGTTGCTAAGCGTGCTGATAATGAAAAGAATAACAAAAATTCAACAATTTTCTAAGCGTCATATTTCCACAACTGCACGTTAAGGTCAAAGTCAATCTATTGGAATAACTTGTAAAGCTCATTGATCATTAGCTACTAGTAAGCCGTTAAGTAACCTAATTGATACCAGAGAGCGTTAAAATCGACAATTTATATATTAAATATTCTATATAACTATGTAACACTGTTTGTTTGTTTTGAATTTC